GGTGGTCCTCCTCCCTCCTCCTCCTCCTCCTCCTCCTCCCTCCTCCTCCTCCTCCTCCTCCTCCTCCTCCTCCTCCTCCTCCTCCTCCTCCTCCTCGTCCTCCTCCTCCTCCCCCTCCCCCTCCTCCTCCTCCTCCTCCTCCTCCTCCTCCTCCTCCTCCTCCTCCTCCCTCCTCCTCCTCCTCCTCCCTGCTCCCTGCTCCCCTCCTCCCTCCTCCCTCCTCCTCCTCCTCCTCCCTCCTCCCTCCTCCCTCCTCCCTCCTCCTCCTCCCTCCTCCCTCCTCCTCCTCCTCCTCCTCCTCCTCCTCCTCCTCCTCCTCCTCCCTCCCTCCCCTCCTCCCTCCTCCCTCCTCCCTCCTCCCTCCTCCCTCCTCCTCCTCCTCCCTCTCCCTCATCATCCTCATCCTGTCCTCCTCCTCCTCCTCCTCCTCCTCCTCCTCCCCCTCCTTATTTCAGCGTCTTGACTGCAGCTTCGGCTGACACAAAAAGAGGATCCAACTGAAAAGGGGGATGTGCACTAGACTTGGGGCAACTGCATTGCAAACGCAGGACGCCCGATAATTGTACTGCATTGTGTTGCATCGAGTGTCCTGCACACGAACATCCAGTAAGAACACTTGCGCACAAGCATGTATTGCACGCCCCGCATCTGTTGCAACTCCACAAATCCATTACACCTACTATGTTGCACCACCGCCTTCTCGCTGGACCCCCCTTTTGGGTCAACCAGACTCTGAGGAGCGGCCCACAAAGCATGAGCTCATCGTGCACCCAGAGCGGTCCTCATTTCATAATTTCAGCGCCCTGACTGTATTCTGGATGGGGCAATAATCGCCCCCCCATGCAGCCGCTGGGGGGGGGCACGTGCTGTTGGAACGGGTGGAGGGGGAGTTGGAGGAAGAGAAGGAGGAGAAGGAGGAGGAGGAGGAGGAGGAGGAGGAGGGGGAGGAGGTGGATGAGGAGGAGGAGGAGGAGGAGGAGGTGGAGGGGGGGATGGGGGATGGGCAAGCTCTGTCCGTCGGAAGGATAGTCGCCCACCCCTCGATCACCCAGAGCAGCCCTCCCCCCCCCCTTGGACGCCACCGGCGGACGGGTCGGCTTGGGCCTCCCGCAGCGGGCCTGCGGGATCCCTCCCAACGATCGCAGACGCGTCCTTCAAACCAACGAGACGGGCTACAGGGCTCCAAATGACGTCCTCCCTCCCTATGCGGGATGGGGGGGGCGAGGCCAGCCTGGACCCCAGGGCAAGCATCCAGGCATGATGGCATCAGGGCGTCAAGACAGCATTGCACCGACCCATCGAGGCATCAAAGCATCAGTACACGATGCATCAAGGCCTCAACGCATCAGTCTTACGGCCCTACGCCTCCCCCATCCCCTCCCCTGCCTCGTCAACCCCACCCTCCTACATTCGATCCTCCACCACAACGCACCACGCGCCTCACTACACCCGCAGGGAACGACACTGGCGACAGAGCGAGCACGATCACCGCCCTCCGCCCCCCCCCCTCACGAACCCATCTCATAGGGGTGGTACCATACCCATGCGGGATCCCAGGGCCAAGAATCGGCCTGGTCAGGAGCTGTGTAGGTATGGACTTGGCGTCCCCCGAAGAGGAGGGAGAATAGAGGATCGTAGATCGTCGAACGGTTCGGGGATCGAGGCCGTCTGCCTCGCCTGGCCTTCGGCGGGGCCCCTCGTCGCTGAATGGGCATGGAAGGTCCCCTGGAGGGGTCCAGACTACTCCAGAGAGAATATTGTACAGGGGAGGGAGCGGGAGGAAGATGAGGTAATGGTTCCAGAATCGAGTATCTCGGCTTTGCGCTGCCTTCACATGAATTGGCTCCTCAGAGGCCTCCGCGGCAGCCCAAACCTCAGGGAATTTCTTTACGGAAGGCGTCAAACAAACAATCTAATTAGGACTGAGGGTCCGCATCGCGTCCCTGAACCCCCTCTTCCTCCGCGGTCTTCCCCAGCATCCCCCTCGTCGACCTCCTCCTCCTCCTCCTCCTCCACCTCCTCCTCCTCGTCCTCCTCCTCCTCCACCTCCTCCTCCTCTCCTCCCGTCCTTCGTCCTCCTCCCTCTCCATTTCGCTGTCACCCGTGTTCCTTCCACCTCCCCAAATTACTCCTGCTCCTACAACTCCTCCTCCTCCTCCTCCTCCTCCTCCTCCTGTTCCTCTTCCTCCTCCTATAACTTCTCCTCCAACAACTCCTCCTATATCTCCTCCTCCGCCGCAGCCTCCTCTGACGCGTATAGCGCTCTCGCTGCCCTTCCCCCTGCCCCTGCCCTTCTCCATACTCTGCCCGATCCCCCTATCCTTTCCTTCCCCTCCTCCCCCTCTGGCTCCTGCTCGTCCCTTTCACCATCATCAGGACTCAGTGTTGAGCTGCTGCCTGACAGAGAGGCGAATGCGTACATTCGAGCAACGGGACACTATGATAACCATGGGGCTTGCGAGATGGCACTGGACGCGCAAACACATGGAAATCCATTTACAAACTGTGGACAGCACTCGCCTGCCCGAGTAATGAAAAACAACACAAAGTTCGCAGTGAACACGTCCAGGTGGGGATTGTACCTCGGGGGAAGCTGCTCAACCGTCTAGGTGTCTTCGGATCATTGCTTGCACCTCCTACTCTGTGGCGTTTGTATCCTCGCACTCCACTCCTCTCCACCCACCATCATGTAAGGTTGTCCCAGAGCTCATGTGGAAGGATGCTTGCATAACTCGGTGTCGCTCATGATTCTGCTCGCCATTCAGTCCAGGGGAACAATGGCTGCAAGGCACAAACGATGGACGGTACAGGAGGGCTGCGAAGATGAGCGAGTCGCGTGGTGGAGGCTGGAGGCATCCAAGATGGGGGTCGGAGCACATGGGGTCGGAGATTAGCGCCGCATCGCCGACGCATCGGCGGTGCACCGGCGACGTCGGCGAAACTTCGGCGACGCCGGGGTGGCGAAACACGGGCTCCGCATCGGGCCGCATCGCCAGTGCATCGGCGATGCGGCGCGGCGCGATCCTCCGACCCCCGATCTCTACGCCGACCCCGCCCCTGGGAGCCCCGGGCGCGCCCGCGGGTGCAGGGAGCGCGCGGCCAGGCGCCTATGGAGGCCCAGGGGCGGAGGCCCGGGGGCCACGGCGCCGCAGGGGGCGGGCAGCATGCCACGAAACGGTGTGCACGTGCACGGGACCCCCCTGCGACGAACTCCACGCGTGCCGTCAGGTCGGGGGCTGCTGGAGGTGCCCCGGGCCCAAGGTGCCCCCAGCTTTTCGCTCCCTTCCGGAGCCCCTGGGGCCTGGCCCAAGGTGCCCCCAGCTTTTCGCTCCATTCTGGAGCCCCTGGGGCCCTCTGGGCCTCGCGAGGGGTGCTCTCGAGGCCCTGGGGGCCTCCTTGGGGATCCTGGGAGCACCGTGGGCCAGGGGCACGCCTGGCCACACTCGATGTCAGGGATGGTGGCGGTGTGCGAAGTCGCCGGCCCTCGGTGGTGCCGAGGACCCGGGACAATCCGTTCGGAGGGTGCCCGTGCATGCAGACGCGTGGCGGACGCAGCGCGTGCACACTCCGGGGCGCCGACGGTCCGTGCCTTCGGCGAGGCTCCTGGGCGAGCGCGCGCGACGGCCGGGTCGCCCCGCTCGTCGCCTCCGAGAGGTGGGAGCAGAGACGCTCGGTACCATCGGGAGCGGCCAAGAGGGGGGTGTCCAAGAGGGGGGGGTGCAAATCATGACCGGCGGCATGTGCGCGGCCCAGCGGGGGGGCCAGGGACGTAAAGAAACAAGAAGAGGCGCCATGAAATCTGGGGAAATATCATGGCCCACGCCATGAGATCCACCCCCCCCTAGTCATCACCCCCCTCTTTTCCGCCCCCGATACCACCGCCGTCGGCGCGAGGAGCCCTCCTGGCCGGGACGGCTAGAGACGCACCAAACGCTGCGTGCCTCTGGGGGCGGCGCACGCCCGACCCGAGCACGGAGGCCGTTTGCCGAGCGGCAGGGCGAGATGGCGCCCGCCACGGAGCTTCCACTGGAACATCTCCGGGCGTGCGCGTCGCCCTTGCGCGGCCGGCACACGCGCAGTACTCGTATGCTTGGGCGGAACCGACCAGCTGTGTGACCTCAACGTTCGAGGGGGAACGCGGGAGGTGGTGCTGCCCCGTCTCTGGACCCCCCCCCCAAAATGGAAGAACAGGAAGAGGCGGCATAATTACCTTCCCCCTCCGACGGAGGAGGCGCGGGGTGATTCCCTTGCCTCCCAGAACAAAGCCCCGCTCCGGAGCGAGAGTGGCCGCCGGAAGCGAGGCCGAGGAGAGGAACAAGAAAGATGAGAGCTCGAGCTTGGAGGCGGCCTAAGGGGGTCAGAGCTGGTCGGGCCCCGAAGAAGTCGATCAAGAAGAGAAGGGGGCGAAGGCAAATCCGCTCAAAATCACCCCCCGGACACCCGCACCCGGGGTCCACCTGGTGCAATGTGTCACGCAAGATCCGCTCTTGACAGCCGGCCCGAAACAGGCCCCGTGGAGACAATGAGAGGCAACCAGCCTGCTCGAACCCATTACCTCGAGCCTCGCCCCCCCTCCTTCTGGCCAGAGCCGGTGATTCTGTTGTCTTGGAGAAGGGGGGGGGAGGGGCGGAGGCGAAAGCAGGAGGCGCCGCAGGCAGCTTGCCGATCCCGTCCTCGCTCTGCGCGCGCCGCGCAGGAGCCTGTGCCAGCGCCAGGAGGGAGCAGGAGAAGAAAACTATCTCAACCTCACTTGGGCGCCCGAGTTATCCGGGTGAACTCGGGCCCGGGGTAACTCGGGCTTGGGTTCCCGAAAAAAACGAACCCGAGTTAGCCCTGGCCCGAGTTAGCCCTGAGGATTTTGGGGCCCTGGACGCCCGAATTATCCGGGGTATCTCGGGCCCGGGATAAATCGGGTTCGGAATCCCGAAGAACGAACCCGAGTTAGCCCTGACCCGAGTTACCCCTTGATGATTCGGGGCTCTGGCTCACGGCCGACGGGCCTGGCGAGGGGCGAGGTCCACCTCGCGGCCGGCGGGCCCGGCGAGGGCGCCTGGTGCCGGAGACCTGCCAGAGGCCCTCCCTCGTGGCTCCTCCGCGGCGCGAGCAGGGAGAGGCCCCAGGGCATTACGAGAGGAGGAGGAGGAGGAGGAGGAGGAGGAGGAGGAGGAGGAGGAGGAGATGGGAGGAGGAGGAGGAGGAGAGGAGGAGGAGGAGGAGGAGGAGGAGGAGGAGGAGGAGGGGGAGGAGGGGGAGGAGGGGAGGAGGAGGAGGAGGAGGAGGAGGAGGAGGAGGAGGAGGTGGAGGTGGAGGTGGAGGAGAGGGGGGCACGTGGTGAAAATGATTTCAACCTTCGAGGTGCGTGGGTTCAGCCAGACCTGGCGGCGGGGCAGCGCGGCGAGGGCGGCGGCAGGAGCGGCAAAGCGGGGCCCTCGTCCCGCGTCCCTCATCCCACCCCACCTCCACCCCCCCTCCTCCCTCCCTGCTGCTGCTGCTCCTCCACCTCCACGATTCGACACTCGAGGGAACGAGGATAACGTGTTTGTCCTGCCTGTTCCCCCTGCTCGGGCATCCCGAACCCGTCGGAGGCCGCTGGAGGCTTCCAGAGGCGTTCAAAGATCTCCTCCTCCCCTCTCTCCCCCTCCTCCCCCCTCGCTACCTTCCACCCTAGATGGCGACCAGAGCCCTCCACCCACCCTCCTCCTTATGGCGGCCAAGTGCGGGGTGGGGGCGGGGGAGGGGGGGTAGGGAAAATTCGATTACGCCGCTGGTCTGGACAATCACCCCACCAAAAGGCTGCCCATGCCGCTCCCGGTGGCGACGCTCATTCCGCTTCTCCGACGTGCTCGTGAGCTGTCCGCATGACCGCAGTGCAGCCTGCTCACACTCGGCCTTCCAGCAATCACGTTGATGGTAAAGGCAGTCAACCCGAGGGGGCATTCTCTGTGCGCTTCCGCGGCCAAGAATACGTGTTCCCAACACAGCGCTTACACTGCAAGTATGATCGCGGAACATGTGGGGATTTCCCCGGGAATCCCCCCACCCCAGAACAACCATTTCGGTAGGCGACCAGGTCCCAGGGGCCTGTTTCTCGGCCCTCTGCGAGCGTCGAATCCGATGGGCGGCTTGCTTCCCGATAGAACGCCCTGGTTGCCCTCTGGGTCTATTTGTCTGTACGTTCTGGTTCTAGTACCCTGATCTGTGTCGTGCCTCGCTGTTCTTCGTGATCGTCCTCATCATCTTCGTTGACCTCCTCCTCGTCTAAATCGGACCAATTCGAACACGCGCGTGCCACATTGAAGACACTAGTCACCCCGGCACAACGCATCACAACCGAAGTGAGGGCGCAAAATCGTGCGATTACTCGTTCAACTGGTTCCAGGGAGGTCATGGTTGTTCACTCTGCGTGACTTCTCTACCACCAGAAGCGCAGACTTGTGTATGGTTTGCCTTTGATGCGATCGCGTCAACCTGTTATTCCTCCCTGTGTTCCCCCCCCTTTCCTCCGCCTCCTCCTCCTCCTCCTCCTCGTCCTGCTATCAGTGGCCTCCTTGTCTCACGCTAAGTTGAGAAACATGCAGTCTCCTCATACATCGTCTGGTCATAGTGTCTGAATTGGCTGGGGGGAATGCACAAAACGTGAAGAACTTAGGGCAGAGGAAGAATATAATATAAAACAAGGAGTGCGGCACGCAGGGAGAGACCAGAGTAGAGAGGAAGGAACGCAAGGGCGAGAAAACATGTATGGTGAAGAATGAAGCATGGAGCGTCCCGGGTAAATGCGTGATCTAAATGTAGGGGCGCCGAGTCAAGAATTTAATGTAATGAATACACGAGAATAGAGAACACAAATAACCGCTTTCGCCATCCTTTCTTCGCGCCCGCGCACACTGTACTGCCATGGTTCTTAGGAGGAACTGGGTGGGGCGTGATCCTGAACAACTTCATTAACCATCGCGCCACGATCCGAATGGAAAATTGAATGCCAAAGATCCGTAATCGTTATACCACGTCTTATGCCAGACCATGTATAGTACAATTCTTTCGTCTTCGGTGGTGTTTGGCATACCTCGATGGCAGCAACGCCCGTCGAAGACAACCACTGAGCCAGGCTTGCAACAAGCGTGGAAATGATCGCCCACATCGCATGTATCGGCTGGCCGCCGATGTGAGCCCAAGATTAACTCAGTGGCGCCGTTCTCAGTCGTCATCTCGACGAGAGGGATCAATATCGTATAATAGAACGGTGGCAGGCTGACGTCGATGCGGTCGTCACCGAAGAGGTCATAAGTGTCTCGATGCCACGGCCCAAAGTCCGACTTCACCTGTGATGGCAACGCAGCTGCGTAATGCGTGTAGTCGGACTTGAGCAAATGCTTCATGAGGGCGGCCACGATCGGCGGCTCATGGAACGCGCTCTTGCCAAAACAACCCGACGCCATCCCATAGGTAAAATCGTACCGGCCTTCGGCTAGCTTGTACACTTCTTCTTCGCCGTCAATGTCCCATACCTGCGTCCACCTTGACGTTTGCTTCCCCTTGAATGTATTTATGTACTGCCTTGTGTCTCCTGGCGACTTGGACATGTGACGTTTGACCTGCGAAAACAATTGGTCGTGATTCTTCTGGAAAGCCGCGACCTGCTCTTCACTGTAGACTCCTTCTATAATCGCCACGCCGCGCTGCTGCAATTGGACCGATAAACTCTGCACGCGCTCAGCGAATTCATCGCTCTCAGCAGCCGCATCATGTGTTAGTTGACCCGCATCTGCTCCTGCCTCTGCCCGCGAAACTTGTTTAGCAACGCCGCTGGATCTGACGGCTGGGTCAGTAAGAGACGCGACGCACTCGTGACAACGTCGGGTGCTCCCGTGTTTCAGCTGGTGGCTTGAAAAAGCGCTGCGTGGGGCATCGACCCGGCAACCTCTGCACACAGGCATGCGCCAAACTCTGTTGAGAAAACGCCTTAGGCAGAAACGGCTTGAGCCTCGCGGTCACGGAATGGCCTCAATCTGATTCGCCTGCTAATGGGGGTTAGACTTCTGGGGGCCAGAGTCAGCGAAACGCAATCTAAGGGACTACTTCTGTCCGATAGCATGACTGGCCCAGGCGAAGAAATCCTTCAATATTTACCCAGGGAGAGCCAAGGAGTACATAGTTATTGGGACAGCTGCGGCCCCGAGCAAGGGACATCCACAGAATTGAGCTCACCTTCCCATGGCCCCAAAACGGCTGGCCTCCACTGACAGGCGATGGGCTCGGCTGGCTCTGACATTTGCCGTGGAGATGCTCCTCCAGGGAACCCGTGGAACCCGCCAGCCCCTCTGGCGGCGCAGGGGCGCCGCGAAACTCGCCTGGCGGGCGTTTTTTTTCGGCGTTTCGACATTGGGCGGCAAGGGGGGGGGGGGTCTGGCTCTGGACATCTGCTTAGTGCGACTGTTTGCAGCAGTGCGTCCTATCAGGGGGGCACCCCGCCTGCTCGAAGCAGGCGCCAAAAACAGCCAAGATCTACTCCACGGAGGAGGGGGGGCAGAGGGGATACGATGGCCCGCGCCGATCGGCAAAACAATGAATAAAAAACGCTCACCTGTAGAACACTGTCTGGCTGGCGCCCGTTGCCGCATCTGCAGCCATCGTGCCATCAATAAGGGGCGCTGCGTCAGAGGAGCTCTGCTGCCAACGGCGAGTCTCGGCCGCGGCGCGCCCCCCCCCACCCTGGCACAGGAGACGGCCCGAAGCCCGTAAATCCTCCCGAGTCTGGAGTGGTCCTTATTCCAATGTCTTGGCGGTGCACACATGTATGTTTCGATGTGTAGATGTGTATGTACATGTTGTGGACAAGTGTATATATTATATACGCATGTCTCGTGTATAGTGTGTGTGTGTATATATATATATATATATATATATATATATCCGCCGGCCCCCTTGTGGGGCCACTAGGCTGCGAGGCGCGTGATTCGCAGTTTCCTGTACCAGTTGTAGTTTGTAGTTTCCAGTGTTACAGTTCTGCTTCTTGCTGGTTACTGTAACTAGTTGACTTCTTGCTGGTTACTGTAACTAGTTGATTGACCGCGCGAGGGGGGGGAGGCCCAAACGGATTTTTAGCGTCCCCTGGGCGCGTTGTCTGAATTGCTGGGGGGGCTCGAAATCGACACCCCTCACGCAGATCCGCGGGGTCAGGGTCCAAAAACACATGGGATTTGCCACATTTCTGAAATTCGGTGCCACCCCTCACGCAGATCCGCGGGGTCAGGGTCCAAAAACACAGGGGATTTGCCACATTTCTGAAATTCGGTGCCACCCCTCACGCAGATCCGCGGGGTCAGGGTCCAAAAACACAGGGGATTTGCCACATTTCTGAAATTCGGTGCCACCCCTCACGCAGATCCGCGGGGTCAGGGTCCAAAAACACAGGGGATTTGCCACATTTCTGAAATTCGGTGCCACCCCTCACGCAGATCCGCGGGGTCAGGGTCCAAAAACACATGGGATTTGCCACATTTCTGAAATTCGGTGCCACCCCTCACGCAGATCCGCGGGGTCAGGGTCCAAAAACACAAGGGATTTGGATTTGGCAGACATTTCTGAACATTCGGTGCCACCCTTCACGCACATCCATCGCAAGGCGTGGTAACCCAAACTGCGAGAACTCCCTCGGCCCTTTAATCGCAAGGTGTGGTAACCAAGCCCGTACACCATACACGTCTTACCAATCGCCAGGTGTGGTAACCCCTCTTGTGATCAGTTGGTTTTGCTGATTGCGAATCGGCTTCGCATGAAGTTTCGATACTGCTTCGCAACAGCGCCAAGGCCTCATGACTTAGCTCTTCCATGGCCCATTCTCCGAGAGAGGGGGCCGGTGCCGGCGGCAGGGGGCGAAGCCCTTACGGATATAAATGAATATATATATATATACACATATACTAGGATTGGAATGCTTGGTGCCCCATATGGTTATACCACCTTACAACACGATCCGTCGAAACGGGGGGTCTGACGTGGGCCCCCCTGTTTCGACCGATTTCGCCCGATTTCCGTCGAAACATGCCCAAAAACAACGATTCCGTCGAAACAGGGGGTCTGACGTGAGCCCCCCTGTTTCGTTGATTTCGCCCTCACGGGCCATGTTTCGACCGATTTCGCCCGATTTCCGTCGAAACGGGGGGGCTGACGTTGGGACCCCTGTTTTGTTGAATTCTGAACAAACACCATGTGTGGCGCATGAAGGACGTTTCCTCCCTTCGGCGCGCGGGCCTCAAATATTGGTGCTGTGCAACCTACAAGGTGCACTCTTTGGCGTGCAACCTATGGGGTGCAATCTATGGGGTGCAATCTACGGGGTGCAACCTATGGGGTGCAACCTATGGAGTGCAATCTATGGGGTACAAAAACACCAATCATCAAGGACCAACCATAGGGCACCATCCATACAGCACATATCATAGAGCACTGAACGCTAACTTCAGGCGCCAATGGTCAGCTGTGGCTGACAAGGCAAACTGTTCAAATTGCACTAATACTTTAATAATACATTAGGGTAAACATTAAAACAGAACTCATCGTTGTTACCCTACTGATATCACCAACTCTGGCTGTCCAAAGTCGCGCGTCAGCTGCCCGCTTGAGCCTCCCGGGGGGCCCTGTGGCCCCTGTCTCTCTGGCCCTGGTCGATGGGTTCTGCTGCGTTTGCCACCGCCAGAGGTCAATTTTTCTGGAGAAAGGACATCCTTCTCATTGGTAGACATTTGGGCTCGACGACCACTACTGGCCCCCAAGATGGACGTACAAGAGAAACTTGAGCCCAAGGTGGAGGGCGACCTTTTCTTAACAACTCCTACTGTTGGATGGACGCCAATGAACTTCCGCTCTCCGGGGCGCCAGCTCAACCTTGCGCCTGCTGAGGCGGCTGGGAAACTCATGAACGCGTTCAATCAGATGATCAAGGACCACAACGACCCCCTCAAGTTCATCAACAGTATGCTCCCGACTCCAGAGATGGTATCAGAGTACGTGGACTGCTTGGTCAAGGACATACTCCCATCAGTTCCAGACGTGATCTACTTGACCAAGTGCAACAGCACGCCGGTGAATCGGAACGAGTATGCTGAGAAGACCCCAGTGCTCGTTCACTTGGGAATGCTGGGGTGGAAAGAGGGCATGTTCCCGAAGGAGGCCCCTGAGGCTTCTGTGTGCGCCCGCATATGCGAGGAGATCATCAAGGACGGGTTCAACTCGAGCGCTGAGCCTGTGCTGCTGTGGCAGCCTCCGGAGTTCGACGTCCCAGGGGAGAAGTTCAAGATGGCTTATGGTATCGAGGAGCTTCAAGATGAGGAGTGCATCACGTTGTTGTCCATTGGGTGTGCGAAAGGACAGGCACGCATCATCACTCTCCATGCCATCATGTTGCTCTGTGTCATGTCTGACATCGACGTGGAGCATTCGTACCCGGTGATCTGGAACACGTGTCGGAGCCTGGCAGCGCACAACCTAGATCTGAGCTCGCTGTCCGAAGTTGCGATCTTCAATGCCAAGATGAGTTCCCGGGGCAGCATACGGCGAGCCCCATCTGTGGGGTCCTGGTTAGGCACCTTCAGGATCTTGCAGAAGAAGGGGGGCGACACGCCAGAGGTCATGATCCAGAAGTGGAACGCTGTTTCAACTAAAGCTGACAAGATTGTGGGCGCGAAGCACCAGAGCCTCGTGACTGTCATGAAGTTGCCAGACGAGGTGCAGGCCATGTTGCTTGACATCATTCGCCAATATGGCTGGCAACATTCCCCATTCGCTGACGATACTCTCAACACGAAGAGGCTTACTGTTGGCTTCAAGGCTAAAATGGTTACGAAATCCTGGCAAACACGTACGATGGTGACTCAGGAGTCTATCAAGTTAGTCTTCCGGCATCTGTCCAGTGTGTGGGCTTCACGTTTGAGTACAACCAGGCGTCCATTGGACAAGGCTACCTTTGAAGATTACATCTCTATTGCTGCGCTGTGTCAAAACATCACCAACACTGCCATCGAGATGCACCCGGCGCTTGAGCCGTCAATAACAGCTTCGTTCCTCAATGCTTGGGCAGCGAATGACTCTACTGTTGACGTGGAAATGCGCACAGCGTGGGCAGAAAAAAGCGAGACCTTCATAATGGCTGACATCAGTGTCCTGAAGGAGATCTTGGAATCCCAGATTTCGCACGGAGCGCCACAGATCGCGAAGCAAGAGAGCCAGCTGAACGTGGAGGCCACAAAGATCCAAAGGGCTACTTGTGAGCTCACCATCGAGAAGAGCAACTACGACATGCAGGTTTACGTCAACCACTGCATCAAGTGCAAGGACAGAGTGTCTGCGCAATACCACCAGGTCAACGAGTGGCGGAAAGAGCGCGCAAACGCTGCTACCAAAGTGGCATCTAATTTTCTCCAGGAGCATGTGATGATCATTACTGGTGGCAATACTGAGGAGTGGCATTCGCAATACACGAACTTCAAAGAGAAGATTGGGAAGGCTATTGGATCAGCGACTGGTGACATTGTCTCAGTCTGCGTGCTGAACTGGGTGGCTCCATGCACAGTGAGTTCCTTTG